AATTAGCATCCGAGTTTTGAGACGTCTCAAAACTTGAGCTGCATCCGCACCTTCAGGCTCATCTGAATGAACATCCTCCTTCCATCCTTCCTTGCAAGGGTAGCTAGTTGGCATCCTTGCATTCCGATTGTTCCATTTCCACAGTGCCTCCTACTTAATCCTGCAAAGCAAACGGCATCGCTTTGTGGGAACGAGCGAAGCTCGTCCGCACAGCTGAAACTCGAAGCTCGTCCGCACAGCTGAAACTCGAAGCTCGTCCGCACAGCTGAAACTCGAATCTACCATTTTCCGAGGCACCGGGAAAGAACAACTTGATTCCTCATTGCATCCCCATCATCCCGATGCATGCGTCCCCATCCCATCCGCACATGCTCCCATCCCCATTGTTCCATTCCCACTGTACTACCCCCCGTTCCGTCTGCAGGAGCAAAAGATAAACAAGGACAAGTTCATTCAGGCCGTTCAGGCTCTCTGTGGGATGAACATGTTCAAGCAACTCATGCAGCAGGTGCAGGTGCGTGAAGGAGTGCAAGTCGGTGCAAGTAGGTGCCTGTAGGTGCAAGTAGGGGCAGGTAGGTACCGTAGCTGTTTCATGAGTCGACTCAAAATACACCTAGAGGTTCATTCAGGCCGTTCAGGCTCTCTGTGTGGTGGGCACACGTTCAAGCAACTCATGCAGCAGGTGCAGGTGAGAGAAGCGTGCAACCGCATTCAACCGTATTCAGCCACGTACAATCGCATTAAAGGTCTCTGTGGGTGGAACATGTTCAAGCAGCTTATGCAGCAGGTGCAGATGCGTAGGGAACGCAAGTAGGTGCAAGTAGGTGCAGGTAGGTGCAGGTAGATGCAGGTAGGTGCAGGTAGATGCAGGTAGGTGCAGGTAGATGCAGGTAGGTGCAGGTAGATGCAGGTAGGTGCAGGTAGATGCATGCAGGTAGGTAGCTGTATCATGAGTCGACTCAAACACACCTAGAAGCCCATGCACACCATTCAGGTTCTGTGTGGGGCGGGGCGCACGTGTTCCGAGTCGACTCAAAACAGTTGTATCATGAGTCGACTCAAACACACACACCTTAACACACACACCTTAACACACGCACCTTAACACACCTAGAAGCCCATGCACACCGTTCAGGCTCTCTGTGTGGTGGGGCGCATGTGTTCCTCCCTCCTCCCTCCTCCCTCTCTCTTGCTGTCACCTTCCGTCCACTTCCCTTTGGTCATTCGCGTGTGGTTTCTCATTCCCTGCAGAGAGAGCGTCAAAGGACAAGGGAGCGTCATGAGCAAATGGCAGCAGCAGCAGTTGCTGCTGTTTGTTTCAGTCGACTAAAAAAGCCATCCTATTCCCTCTTCTCATTCCCTGCAGAGAGAGAAGATAATGCAAATGAAGGTAGCTGCTGCTGCTGCTGCTGCTGCTGCTACCAACAACCACATGGCACCGCACTCCACTCCTGCGGGCCCCCTTGCACCTCCTGCTACAGCCGGCCCTCCCAGCAGCACACACCCAGGCGCATCTGTAGCAGGACCAGCAACAGCCGGAGGAGTAGCCTTGGGATCAGAAGCAGGCTCGGGAGCAGGCTTGAGAGCAGGCTCGGCCGGGCCTGGGTCTGTGCAAGGAGGGTTGGGAGCAGGGACGGCTGGAGGTGTGGCAAGGGAAGGTGGGGGGATGGTAGCTGGGACTGGGGTGGGTGGGTCTGGGGGAGGTACAGCTGCCGGTGCAGCTGGCCTAGGGAATGGGGCGGGCACTAGGGGAGTGGGTGTTGGAGCAGGGGGGTTGGGGGAAATGCAGGGAGGGACAGCGTTTCAGCAGCAGCAGCAGCAGCAGCAGCAGTTGCAGCGGCAGCAGCAGCAGCAGATGCTTCAGCAGCAGTCACCAGGACCGAAGCTTGAGCCAGGAGCAGGAGTAACCATGACGATGGGTCAACCACAACCGTACCATCCCATGCAATCCCCCCCACTCCGACCAACCATCCCCCCCCACTCCGCCCACCCCTCCCAAACGTTCCACACCTCTCCATACCCCATACCTCGCCCCGCCGTCTCTCCCGTCCCTCCGAAGCTAGAGCCTGGGGTCGGGTACCCTGCCGGACCTGCAGCTGTGCCTCACCCGTCCGGTCCCCACCCCGCTTATGTAGGTTCGGCACCAGGGCAGATAGGCTCGGTGCCGCTGCAGGCTGGGGCTCCGAGCCCACATGTAGGTCCGGCAGGGGCAGGTCTGGGAGTGGGTATGGATGGGAAAGTTGAGGGGGTTTCTGCAGGTGCTATTGTAGGGCAAGTCCCATCAGGAACTGGCGTGGCTGGTGTAACTGCTACTACCGCAGCAGTGGGAGAGGCAGCATCAACAGGTGTAGATGCAACGTTACCAGCAGCAGCAGCAGCAGCGGCAGCAGCAGCAGCAGCGGCAGCAGCGGCAGGAGCGGCGGCAGTGGGTGCTGCTGCGGTTCCAGGTAAAGTGCCTGCAGAAGGAACAGGAGGTGGAGCAGGGGCAGGGGCAGGAGCAGGAGCAGGAGGAGCAGCAGCGGGAGTGGCAGGCATAGCTGGGACAGGGGCCGAAGCAGCAAGCAATGTAGGAGCCAGTGCGCCTGGGGCAAAGGCGACTGGGGTAAAACTGGGGGCAGGAGCAGGAGCAAAAGCAGGTGCGGGTGGGAAACCAGCTAATGCTGCTTCTGGTGCTGGTGGTGGTGGTGGTGGTGGTGGTGGTGCTGGTGGTGCAGGGGCAGTGGCAGCGGCTGCTGGGACTCCTGGGGCCCGGCCGTTGACCAAGTATGAGAAGGCTAAGCTGAGAAAAGAGGCGAAGAAGCGAGAGGAGGAGGCGAAGCGGAAGGCGGAAGAGGAGGAGAAGAAGCGGATCGCAGCTGGGGGGGCACCTGACGCTGCTGCTGCTTCTGGTGCTGCTGGTGCTGGTGGTGGTGGTGGTGCTGCTGCTTCTGGTGGTGCTGCCGGTCCTGGTACAGCCACTGCAGGTGGAGCCACGGTCAAATTAGAGGATGGATTGCCAGCAGTAGGAGCTATAGGAGGAAAGGCGCCAGCAGCTGCAGGAGCAGCAGGAGCAGCGGGCGCAGCAGGGGCAGTAGCGGCAAGAGGGGCAGCAGCAGGGACGGCAGGGGGTTTGAGAAGAGAAGAGGAGCCAGAGGTGAAACGGCTTAGGCTGACAGAGAGCGATGGCGGTGCTATGCCCTCTAGTGCTGCAGCCGCACCTGCTCCTTCCACCACCTCTGCCCCTGGCGCTGCTGCTGCTGGTGCTGCCGCCTCTGGCGCCAATGCGGGTGCTGGTGCTGGTGCTGCTGGTGCAGCAGCAGCTGATGCTACGGCTGCCCAACCAGGCAGACCAGCAGCAGGTGCAGGGGCGGCTGCACCAGCCAAGCCATCCACAGCAGCAGCACCACAGGTCCGTTCCCATCCCCCCATCCTCCTCGTTGGTTTTTGAGAATTCTCAAAAAACTTCTTTTCCCAACCAGGCAGACCAGCAGCAGGCGCAGGGCGGGCTGCTCCTGCCAAGCGCAGCGAGGTTGTTTTTGAGAGTTCTCAGAAACAAACTCGCTACACAGGGCCGGCTGCTCCTGCCAGGCCCTTCCCAGCAGCAGAACCACAGGTTCGTTCCCATCCCATCCCTCCATCCTCCTCACTGAAGCAGAAGCCATCTTCTCCCAACCAGCCAGGCCACCAGCAGGGGCGTTTTGAGACGTCTCAAAACACTCCTTCTTTCATGTGGCGTTTTGAGACGTCTCAAAACACTCCTTCTTTCACGTGGCGTTTTGAGACGTCTCAAAACACTCCTTCTTTCACGTGGCGTTTTGAGGCGTCTCAAAACACTCCTTCTTTCACGTGGCGTTTTGAGACGTCTCAAAACACTCCTTCTTTCACGTGGCGTTTTGAGACGTCTCAAAACACTCCTTCTTTCACGTGGCGTTTTGAGACGTCTCAAAACACTCCTTCTTTCACGTGGCGTTTTGAGACGTCTCAAAACACTCCTTCTTTCACGTGGCGTTTTGAGACGTCTCAAAACACTCCTTCTTTCACGTGGCGTTTTGAGACGTCTCAAAACACTCCTTCTTTCACGTGGCGTTTTGAGACGTCTCAAAACACTCCTTCTTTCACGTGGCGTTTTGAGACGTCTCAAAACACTCCTTCTTTCAACCAGCCAGGTCACCAGCAGGGGCAGGGGCGGCACCACCACCAGCCAAGCCAAGCCCTTCACAGTAGCACCCAATAGAAACATCTTCTTGCTCTCTTACGAGTTTTCCCCCCTATCCTAACATTTTCCTCACCGTGCTCTCCTCTTTTGCCTATCCTCCCGTCTCTCTCCCAACTCCCTTTCCAAAACCCCGCTCACAGTTCCAGCTTTCAACCTCCTCTGAAGAATTCTTGACTCGACCCATAATCGCCTCCTCTCCTCCCCTCCATCTCTCTCCCAACGTCCGAACCTCCCAAAACCCCATCCGCAGCCCCCAGGCTCTCAAGTCGCTCAGCCACCCGGCAGCAAGCACCCAGCAGAGGCATCCGCGCCAGGACAACCCCCTCCGTGAGTGCTTAAGAATCATCCAGAATTCATCTGAGCACTGTAATTTCTAGAATTCTCAGAAATACCTTATTTTCTAGAATTTCCAGAACCTTCTAGAATTCAGCTTAGCACTCGGACAACTCAAACACTCACTCTGCCACTTCCAGCAAGTATTATATTCTTCAGCGGAGGCACTCCCGCCAGGGCAACCCCCCGTCCGTTCTCTTCCTCCCCCCTAACTCTCCCTCCCCTCCCCCGCCCCCCTCCCTCGTCATCCCCACCCCTCGTTTCCACTGTACCTCTGCATGCCTGCAGCCAGAAGCCCAAGCCAGACAATAACGGGATAGAGCAACTCAACGACCCTCCTTCCTGTTGCCCCTTCATCTCCCCCCCCTCTCCCTCTTCATCCCATTCCCCTACCCCTCTGTCTACCTGCAGCAAGAAGCCCAAGCCCGACAACGACGGGATAGAGCAGCTGTTTGAGGCATCTCAATGGTCTCATCTCATATCCCCCTCCTCCCCCTCCCTACCCATACCACTACCCGTCTGTGCGCCTGTAACTGCAGCAAGAAGCCCAAGCCTGACAACGACGGGATAGAGCAGCTGAATGACGTGACAGCAGTCAGCGGGGTGAACCTCAGGGTGCGTTCTCGCTCCTTTCTTGACGCTCCTTTTGGTGAGGGTGGTTGTTTGGCTTGGCGTCATAGATGGCTGAAAAGGTGGGTGGGGAGGGGGACAGACAGCAGCTGAATGACGCGACAGCAGTCAGCGGGGTGAACCTCAGGGTGAGTGATGTGATTGTACCCTTCTTGACGTGCCTACATGTGAGGGTGGTTGGCTGCATAGATGCAGCATTTGCCTACATTTGAGCAGCTGAATGGCGTCACAGCAGTCAGCGGGGTGAATGGCGTCACAGCAGTCAGCGGGGTGAATGGCGTCACAGCAGTCAGCGGGGTGAATGGCGTCACAGCAGTCAGCGGGGTGAATGGCGTCACAGCAGTCAGCGGGGTGAATGGCGTCACAGCAGTCAGCGGGGTGAATGGCGTCACAGCAGTCAGCGGGGTGAATGGCGTCACAGCAGTCAGCGGGGTGAATGGCGTCACAGCAGTCAGCGGGGTGAATGGCGTCACAGCAGTCAGCGGGGTGAATGGCGTCACAGCAGTCAGCGGGGTGAATGGCGTCACAGCAGTCAGCGGGGTGAACCCGTGGGTGAGTTTTCGTTTTCGTGCCCCCCTCTACGTGTCTTGTTTATTAGTCACCTCTGTTCTTTCTTCTATGCAGCACGAGGGTGGGTGGCTGTATCCTCGTTTTGGTACCACTCACCCCTTCCTATCTCTGCATCTTCATCAGCCTCACTCCCCACTGCTGGCTGTCCCCAGGGTGGGTGTCTGGTTCCTTGTTCCAGGGTGGGTGGGTGTCTGGTTCCTTGTTCCAGGGTGGGTGGGTGTCTGGTTCCTTGTTCCAGGGTGGGTGGGTGTCTGGTTCCTTGTTTTGGTACCGCTCACCTCTTCCTATCGCTGCATCTTCATCAACCTCACTCCGTGAGGTGTGTTTTGAGGCGCCTCAAAACACACCTCCTTGTTTTGGTACCACTCACCCCTTCCTATCTCTGCATCTTCATCAACCTCACACCCCCCTGCTGGCCGTCCCCTGACGATTGTCTAGAGAGTGAGGCTGTGGGGGGATGAAAAAATCACCCCTTCCCGGTGTTTGTTCATCTCTTTTTCACATCACAGGAGGAGGAGGAGCAGTTATTGGCGATGGCAGTGGCGGGGGACGCGCAGCAGAAGGTGCAGGGGGAGGCATGGCGGCGCATGGCGAAGGAGGAGGAGCAGCGGCTGCTGATGGACCGGCCGCTGCTGCGCGCAGTGGTGGGGCGGATAGGTGAGTAGTTGTAGCCTGGTTGGAAGGATAGGTGAGTAGTTGTAGCGTGGTTGGAAGGATAGGTGAGTAGTTGTAGCGTGGTTGGAAGGATAGGTGAGTAGTTGTAGCGTGGTTGGAAGGATAGGTGAGTAGTTGTAGCCTGGTTGGAAGGATAGGTGAGTAGTTGTAGCCTGGTTGGAAGGATAGGTGAGTAGTTGTAGCCTGGTTGGAAGGATAGGTGAGTAGTTGTAGCCTGGTTGGAAGGATAGGTGAGTAGTTGTAGCGTGGTTGGAAGGATAGGTGAGTAGTTGTAGCGTGGTTGGAAGGATAGGTGAGTAGTTGTAGCCTGGTTGGAAGGATAGGTGAGTAGTTGTAGCGTGGTTGGAAGGATAGGTGAGTAGTTGTAGCCTAGTTGGAAGGATAGGTGAGTAGTTGTAGCGTGGTTGGAAGGATAGGTGAGTAGTTGTAGCCTGGTTGGAAGGATAGGTGAGTAGTTGTAGCCTGGTTGGAAGGATAGGTGAGTAGTTGTAGCGTGGTTGGAAGGATAGGTGAGTAGTTGTAGCGTGGTTGGAAGGATAGGTGAGTAGTTGTAGCCTGGTTGGAAGGATAGGTGAGTAGTTGTAGCCTGGTTGGAAGGATAGGTGAGTAGTTGTAGCGTGGTTGGAAGGATAGGTGAGTAGTTGTAGCGTGGTTGGAAGGATAGGTGAGGGGTCTATGAGTGGGGGAGCCACTCCAGGCTCTATGGGTGAGGGAGGAGGAGCAGAAACTGCTGATGGATCGACCGCCGCTGCGAGCCGTGGTGGGGCGGATAGGTGCATAACTATTCGCACTGACGATGAATGAACCTTAATCATGCCACCGCCTCCATCCATCCGCCTGCCTGCATTCCCATGCCCTCGCCTTACACCAAATCCTCCCTACGACTTCTCCTAATCCCCGTGTGCCATTGTAACGAGGTGACTTTTGAGTCGACTCAAAAGTCGCCTGCCTGCATTCCCATGCCCTCGCCTTACACCAAATCCTCCCAACGCCTTCTCCTAATTCCCTTCATCCCCTTCTCCCCCCTCTCTCCCCCCTCTCTCCCCCCTCTCTCCCCCCTCTCTCCCCCCTCTCTCCCCCCTCTCTCCCCCCTCTCTCCCCCCTCTCTCCCCCCTCTCTCCCCCCTCTCTCCCCCCTCCCTCCCCTCTCTCTCCCCCCTCTCTCCCCCCTCCCTCTCCCCTTCTCCCTTGCCTCGCTCCAGCTTCCAAGGCTGGTCTTCGCACTGTCAGTGACTCAGTCGACGTGTGCCGCGCATTTGCCGTCGTCTATTGACCTTCCTCCCCTCCTCCCGTCCCCCCCTTCCCCACCTCCCACGCACTCGTCTCGCTCCAGCTTCCAAGGCTGGTCTTCGCACTGTCAGCGACTCAGTCTACGTGTGCCTTTCAAGGGTACGTGGCTTTGCGTGGGATGCTTTGTTGAACACCTGTGTGCCTCTCAAGGGCAGGTTTACTCATCAAGGTTACGTCTGCTTAGCTGCAAGAGGCTCATCAAGGCATGTGCCTCTCGCCACATGACTAGACGAGCGAATGCACGCACTGCTTGCAGCACTCTTTCCCCTGCACTCTTCAAACTCTCACCCGACTCTTTTTCAGTCTCTCACCTGCTTCTGTCCTTTCCTCGCTGCATCGAGTCTCACCACAGGCACTAGAGGAGCGAATGCACTCACTGCTCGCAGCACTCTCCAGACTATCAGCCCATGTGAGTGTGCCTCTCTCTCACCCTTCCAAAATCAAAGTCCTTTGTTTCAATTGACAGCAGTTGTTGCTTTTGCGATACGATCGTATTCCACAACTCAACAGATCCTGGAAAAAAAAAAAAAAAAAAAAACCTCACACCTCTCGTTTTCCCTCCCCCCTCTCCCTTCCATTTCTTCCCACTCCCCTGAACCCACCACAGCGCCTTGGCCAGCATCGGCACCAACTGTTGCAGCGGCCGCAACAGCAACAACAACAACAAGAAGATAAAAAACTGGAGGAGCGAATACAGCAGCAACAGCAACAGCAGCAGCAGCAGCATGTTCCAGTGATGCAAGTGACGTCAAATCCACTGCAGCAGCTGAGGCTGATGCAGAGGGCAGAGAGGGAGGCGGAGGAGAGGAGAGCAGCAGAGGAGAGAGAGAGACTCAGAAGACTAGGAGAGGTGAGAACTGAGGGGAGGTGGGTACTAAGGGGAGGTGAGAACTGAGGGGAGGTGGGTACTAAGGGGAGGTGAGAACTGAGGGGAGGTGGGTGCTGGACAAGGTGGGTACTAAGGGGAGGTGAGAGCTGGGGGGAGGTGGGTGCTGGACAAGGTGGGTACTAAGGGGAGGTGAGAACTGGGGGGAGGTGGGTGCTGGACAAGGTGGGTACTAAGGGGAGGTGAGAACTGGGGGGAGGTGGGTGCTGGAGAAAGGTGCAGTTTGAGGGGAGTCTTTTGCGCCTCTTGAGGGGAGGTCCATCCATGCATTGTTTTTCTCCCGTCCCTTCTTGAGGCATCTCAAACCGGCTTTTTCGCCAGGTGACTTTTGAGTCGACTCAAAAGACACCTTCTTGAGGCAGCTCAAAACAGCTTGTTCTCCCGGTCCGTCTATCCACCCGTTGGCTGTTTCTCTCCCACTCGTTTTGTGCTCCCGCCCCCTGTTGTGGTGGGTTCAGAAGGAGAGCAAGGAGAAGGAGAAGGCAATCATGACGGAGAAAGAGTGAACTGGAGGGGAATGCTGTGGTGGGCCGAAGACGTCCTTCCGTTCATTGGTTTCCCTCCCCTCCACCGCCCCCTCCCCCCCTTCAACTTCTTCTGTGGTGCGTTCAGAAGGAGAGCAAGGAGAAGGAGAAGGCAAACATGACAGAGAAAGAGAAGGAGGAGCACCGGATCAAGGCTCAGAAGGTGGGTGTTGTAAGGGCGAATGTGAATGGTGCAACAGCTTCAGAGTGGTGAAACAGCTTCAGAGTGGTGAGGGAGAATGATATGATGAGGGGCGAGCAGAAGGGGAACTCTTTTTTGAGGCACGTTGGAAGGAGAATGAGACATTGAGAGAGTGAGGGGAAGAAGGAAAGGAAAGGAATTTGCTGAAACTGAGAGCACCAAGTTAGGCGTGTGAAGGTGCAGAAACTAAGAGGTAAGGCTGAGAAGATACAGAAAGGGATTTTTCAGCCTTATACCTTGCATTTTGTACCTTATCACCTCAACCCTGTACCTGTTACCTGTGCCCAGGCAAAGGAGATGGAGAAGGAGAAGGCAACGCGTGGATGGTGCACCTGTGAACCTTGAGGCGTACAACTTATACCTTATACCTTATGCCTTGCAGCTTGTACCCGTAGTGCAGGCAAAGGAGATGGAGCGGGAGCAGGATAAGGCAACGCGTGGATGGATGGTGCACTGTGTATTTCTTTTTTGTGCCAATGGAACGTGAGCCTAATGGGAGGTACCGTGTATCCTGTGCCCTGTGCCCTGTGCCCTGTGCCCTGTGCCCTGTGCCCTGTGCCCTGTGCCCTGTGCCCTGTGCCCTGTGCCTTGTGTGGCAGGCGAAGGAGATGGAGGAGGAGAAGGAGAAGGCAACTCGGGCGAATGAAGCTGCGAGGGTGGCGGTGGGAGTTGACCCGCGCTTTGCTAAGTGGTTCCGTGACGCTCAATTAAAAAAGATGCAAGCAGCAGCAGGAGGAGGAGCGGCAGGAGGAGGAGCATCGGGAGGAGGAGGAGCAGGAGCAGGAGGAGCGGGAGTTGGCGGGGCTGGGTCCGGCAAGGATGGGGCAGGTGCAGGCCTGGGATCAGGTGCAGGCTCGGGTACAGGTTCGGAAGGGTTGGCTTCGGGAGGTCCTGCGGCCGCGGGCCAATCAGGGGCTCCCACGTCAGCAGCAGGAGGGGCGGCATCAGGGGTAGGTGGGGCTACTGGGGGGGTTGGCGGCAGGGAGGGAGGGTTATCTGGTGTAGGTACACCTGATGGCAAACTCGGTGGTGCCAGGCCTGGAGGCTCGGCAGCCGGAGCTGCAGGTTTGGCTGGAGTAGGGACATCAGGGGCAGCTGGGGCGGGAGGAGCGGGAGGTTTGGCGAAGCAGCAGGGGCCTAGGAGTGTGATACTAAAGGATGTGATTGCAGCGCTGGAGAGGGAACCTCAAATGGCTAAGTCTGTTTTGATGTTCAGGGTGTATGAGAGAGAAGGGAGGGCCAAGGAGGGGAGGGAGAGAGAAGGGAAGGGCAGAGAAGCAGCGGTGGCAAGAGGAGGAGTGAAGGGAGCTACAGCTGGCGCTACAGCCGGAGCAACAGTTAAGAAAGCAGGGTCAGCAGTAGGAGTAGGTGCAGGAGCAGGAGCAGGAGCAGGAGCAAGAGTAGGAGCAGGAGGGGGAGGAGGTGGGGGAGGTAAAGGAACAACAGCAGTAACAGGGGGGGTTCAGGGTGGGTCAGCAGGAGTGGGGGGAATTAAAGGCATGACAGCAGGAGCAGGGGGGGTAAAAGGGGCAGCAGTGGGAGGAGGGGGACCAAAAGCCCTGGCAGCAGGAGGGGGAGGGGCGGGGATGGGTAAAGGGGGAGGGATGGTGGGAGGGACGGCTGGGAAATCGCCAGCTGGAGTGAAAGCCAGCCCAGGTGGGGCTGTAGCGGCGAAGGGAATGGGGAATGGAGCACATACCCCTGCCATCAAGAAGTAATCTCTGCTTAGGAAACTCTTGGTCCGGGAATTCTTGGTGAGTTGGTGTAGCAGTGAAAGCAAGCCCAGGTTGGGCTGAAGTAGCATAGGGGGAAGGAGAATGGTGCACACGACCGTGCGAAGTACCGTAATCGTTCTTGATGCTGTATCTAGAAATAAGAGAAAGAAAGAGAAAAAAATGTTCGGAGATTGAAACGGGTCTGGAGCTATTATTCAGTTGTAGAATGAGTTGGAGATCGAAGCTAGGGAGGGTCTCAGTTTTAATATTGATGGTATAAGGCTAAGTGTTAATGGTGGATTTGGCCCTGGAAGGAGGCAGGGTAATTGGTCCTTCGATGTTATGACGCAGGCAAAATGGCATTTATGGGATGTATTATGGTTTTAGGTGTTTATGGGTGAACGTGAGATTTTCTAATGCACAGTGCGTGTAGCTAGTTGCTTCGGATTTGGCAACGAGAGCTGTCTTAATAGCGCGTTCGTACCAGGATTCCCAAAACCATCACTGAAACAGGCATAGCCTGCATCCCTGCGAAAAGGTGATGACGGTGTAACCAAATAACAAAGGTTTATGTTACGCGACTCCCGCCGGCTCCACTTTCGTCGCGCTCCTTCCGTGCGTGTCGCCGTAAAATCGTCATTCAGGAAAGCCGAACCATCACTACCGTCCATAGCGGTCTCCAATGGCGGATGCAACTGGCGGAGCTGGCGCAGCTGATGCCGGCGGAAGAGCTCCGGGGAGGGGGCGAGGGCGGGGGCGGGGGCGCGGAAGGGGGAGGGCGCGTGGAGCTTCGACGGAAGGGGCAGCGCAAGCGGGGAGAGGCGCGGAAGCTGGGATAGGCGCGGGGACGCCGCGATTGGGCAGCGTATCAGATCCGATCGGACGGCTGCAAACGACAGGGGCGGCACTGGCGCAAGGGTTGAGGGTTCCGGGTTTGGGCGGAGCCAGTGGCGCAGCTTCCGCTTCCCCTTCCGCCAGGCCCGCGCCTTCCGCTTCCGCTCCTAAGGCTGAGGCTGGGGATGGTGGCTCGGCTGCTGCAGGAGCGACAGCTCCAGCAGCAACAGGTTCGGGAACAGCAGGTTCGGCAGCGACAGCAGCAGGAGTGGGGGACACGGCAGGTGTTCGTAAGGTAAGAAGAAGCTCTTTATTGGTGCGACTCTTGAGAGTTCTCAAAAGTCGCACCAATATAGCTGTAAGAAGAAGCGCTTTAATTTTGCATGGCACGAGTTGAAGTCTATTTCTATAACGGAGATACATGAATGATGAACCCTGCTGAGCTGAAACAGTTGACTTTTGAGTCGACTCAAAAGTCTATTTCTATAACGGAGATACATGAATGATGAACCCTGCTGAGCTGAAACAGTTGACTTTTGAGTCGACTCAAAAGTCTATTTCTATAACGGAGATACATGAATGATGAACCCTGCTGAGCTGAAACAGTTAAACACGGCTTGTCTAACTATCCCTTCTTGACATTCTCTACCCCTTTCTCTCCCCCACCACCCCTCTGCGCACTTCTGCTTGCAGCCAAAGTTTGTGCCCAAGGTGCCGGCTAGTGGGTTTCCTTCTCATCCCTGCTGTCCCACTCTATCCCTCCTTATCCCTCTCCACCCCTCTGCACACTTCTGATTGTGTTTTCAGCCCAAATTTGTGCCCAAGGTGCCAGCCAGACGGGCCCAGAAGAAAGCAGTCAAGCCGTGAGTGATGCAGCCTTGTGCCATGTGCCCATACCATGCTCTGTGCCATGTGCCATGTGCCATGTGCCACATGTCCATACCATGCTCTGTGCCATGTGCCATGTCCCATGCCATACGGTGTGCCATGTGACATGCCATGCTGTGTGCCATGTGCCATGCTGTGCCATGTGCCATGCCATGCCATGCCATGCCATGTGCCATAACATGTCATGCCATGCCATGCCATGTGCCATAACATGTCATGCCATGCCATGACATGCCGTAACATGCTGTGCCACGTCATTCCCTGCCTTTACTTCTCTCTTCACTCCCAATTTATTACTCAAGGATTCAGACCTACGCTTGCTATACCTCCCACTCCCCTTACAGAGAAGAAGCAGCAGAGCAGGAGCTACCAGATCAACTGCTCTGAGACGAATTTTGAGAGAAATAATTACACACACACTGCCTCAAAACCAGATCAACTGCTCTGGCAGTGTGTGTGCTTTTGACATCTCAATCATTTTTCCGCACACTCACTTCGCACACACTCACCCCCCCCCCCCCTCTCCCACCCGCACACACAGAGAGCAGGCAGCAGAGCAGGAGCTACCAGATGAGCTGTGGAAGATTCTCCTGGTACTTCCCCCTTCCCCACATAAAACCTGGAACCCTCATCTCCGGTCCTTCCCCCCAATACCCCCCTCCCCCTCCCTTCCCCCCACACGCACACAGTGAGGAGGCAGCAGAGCAGGAGCTACCAGATGAGCTGCGGAAGATTCTCCTGGTACTTCCCCCTTTCCCCTATCCCTACTCTCCAATCCTCTTCTCCAAGCCTCCGCTCCAATCCTCCCACCCACATCATCCACCTTTTTTTTAGTCGACTCAAAATTAGGCTCAAAAATTGAGTCGACTAAAAAATAGGCTAAAAATTTGAGTCGACTCAAAATTAGGCTAAAAAATTGAGTCGACTCAAAAATAGGCTCAAATATTGAGTCGACTCAAAAATAAGCTCAAAAGTTGAGTCGACACAAAAATAGGCTCAAAAATTGGGTCAACTCAAAAATATCCTCCCACCCACATAATCCACCTTTTTTGCACTCTAGGATTTCCATGTCCTCCTGGTTTCGCGCACGCACTCTCGCTTTGCCACACTCCCTCACTCCCCATCGCTCTTCCTCTCCCCCTCACTCGCCATTTCTATGTATCAAATGGTCTTTCATTGAGCAAATGAGCGGCGATCCATCTCTCTCCATCTCTCTCCATCTCTCTCCATCTCTCTCCATCTCTCTCCATCTCTCTCCATCTCTCTCCATCTCTCTCCATCTCTCTCCATCTCTCTCCATCTCTCTCCTTCTCTCTCCCTCTCCTCGTCCCCACCACTGCAGCAATCGCAAGCCGACGCATCAAACGCACCCAAACGAGCCTTCCAAGGTGCGAATGTGACACGCCTGTATGTGGTCATGTGCAAATGGGAGAGAGAGCGCGTAAAGATGCACACGCCTTAATGTGGGCATGCGAGGGTTAAGGTGTTGTGCCCTTGTGTTCATTCATTCACCACTGCAGCAATCGCAAGCCGACGCATCAAACGAACTTAAACGAGCATTTCAAGGCGCGAGTGTGGGCATATGCAAATGTGAGAGTGTATGAGTGTGCAAAAACCTTCATGTGTTCGCCCTTATGTGCATTCACCGCTGCAGCAGTCACAAGCTGATGCATCAAACGCACCCAAACGAGCATTTCAAGGTGTGACTGTGGACATAAGCCTACTTGAAAACCTTTCTCGTCCCCTTATCTCACTACTCATTTTGGGTCTCATCATAGAAATCAGATGATTGGACGACCAGCCCAGTTGACCGATCTGATTTTATCTGATCTAATCGTACAACTGCAAGTCCCCGTTTTTTTCCCCTTCTCTTGCTGTCCCTTCTCACCTCCTCCACATTTCTTTACTTCCCAGGTGCGGCCGTTCGGGTTGCCTTTGGCTTTGGTGCATCCGCAGCAGCAGCAGCAGCAGCAGGGATGGGCATGGGGCCTACCAAAGGGGGCAGCAGCGGTTTTGGCGATGGGGGTGGTGGTTGGGGTGGAGGGGGGGGGGAGGGGGAGGTGGAGGAGGGGGAGGAGGGGGAGGAGGGGGAGGAGGGGGAGGAGGGGGAGGGGGAGGGGGAGGAGGGGGAGGGGAAGGTGGAGTGAAAGAGGAGGGAGGGGTGAGAGTGAAGGCAGAGGGAATGACCGTGGATGGTGTAGGGATGATGGGCGACTTTTCTGCTCCTGGTGAGATGGCTTGCTGGTTCATGTGAAACTGGATAAACCTCGAGAGAGGAGGGAGGGGTGAGTGTGAGAGAGTAGGGAGGGGTGAGTGTAAGAGAGTAGGGAGGGGTGAGTGTGAGAGAGGAGGGAGGGGTGAGTGTGAGAGAGGAGGGAGGGGTGAGGTGAAAGCAGAGGGAATGGCCGTGGATGGAGCAGGGATGACACATGACTCCTCTGCTGCTCCTGGTAAGACGATTTTTGAGTCGATTCGTTTGACCTGCTGCTGCCATTGCACACACGTGTAAACAGTTTCTGTGTTTCGAGTCGACTCAAAACACGACTTGGTTTTTGAGAATTCCTGCCATTGCACACACACATGTGTGAACAGTTTTTGTGTTTCGAGTCGACTGACTTTCTGTGTTTCACATGTGAACTCACAACATGACGTGACCTGCTGCTGCCATTGCACTCATGTGTAAACAATATTTGGGTTGACAAAAAAACGACTCATTGATTGCCCCATTCCCCCCTCTGCTCCCTCTCCGTTTCCCCTGCTCCATTTCCCCACTCCTCCTTCCCCGTTCCTCACCCGTCCCCCCTCCCACTCCTCTTCTTCCTTTCACTTCCGATTGTCCCAGGTGGCTCGTTCCAATTGGACGAGAAGAAGGCAAAGAAGAGAGATACCATGGTGGGTGGGTGGAGAACGGGGTGACGTGGATTACAGAGGGAGTAACGTGGATTGCAGAAGAAGTGACCTGAATCGATGACGGGGTGACGTGGATTGAAAATGGACTGCATGGCTGTTTTTTTTTTTTTTTTTTTTTTTTTTTTTTTATATACCGATGTTACAATAGATGTTTAATCAAAGCTTGAGCTCTTCTTTGCAAATAACCATACACTTTGTTTTTTGCGAGATATGTGCCTGCTTACATACATACACACATGCATATTTACCCACCTTTGCATCAAATAACAGGACTACAGTCGCTACTACCCCACAACGCTTCCTCTGCGCCCCCCAAACACTGGCCCACCAGGTAACCGTTTCAACTCTTTCTTCTTTTTCTGTGCTAACTTGTCTCTTATAAGGTGCCTCAAAAGTTGTTTCAAGCTTTATTGCGCTTTCCTGATCCGATGTTTGAGGTGCCTCAGACCCTCATTCCCTCATTCCATCTCTCACCTCTCCCCTCTCCCTTCCCCAGACCTGCTAAACGAGGCTGAGTTTGGAGAGTAAGCTTTGTCCCGCCCTTTCAGCAAAGCTGCTGTTCCCCCAGCCAGAAAACTGTGTCTAGCCAGCCACCACCGGTGCTGCTTCTTCTTGTTCTCTCATTCCCTCATCCCCCTTCCATCTCTCCCCTTCTCTCCCCTCCCCTCAGACCTGCTAAACGAGGCTGAGTTTGGAGAGGAGGCTCTTGCTCGCCCTTTCAATGAAGCTGCTTCTGTTTCTTGTTCCCCCGATCCCTCATTCCCTTATTCCCTGTCCCCCCACACTCTGTCTCTCCCCCCCCCTCAGACATTCTAAACGAGGCTGAGTTTGGAGAGGAGGCTTTGTCCCGCCCTTTCAACGAAGCTGCTGTGCCCCCAGCCAGAGAACTCGGCTTAAACCCCCCTGCTGCTGCTGCGGCTGCTGCTTCTTCTTCTTCTCTTGATGACCGGATGGTCTTTTTCCAGCTGCCCGCCGCGCTGCCAGTGCGCCGGGAGCGGGCAGCTGAGCTCGCGCCGGGAGAACCCGGGCCGTTGGATGAGCTTTCGTCGCTGCCCGAGGGGCGGATTGGGAAGATTCTCGTGTATGATGATGGGAGAGTGAAGATGAGGCTTGGCGACACTCTATTTGATGTGAGTATCCAGATAAGAGTTTAGCTTTACTAGGTTGGGACTTAGGGATCGGGAAGATTCTGGTGTATGATGATGGGAGTGTGAAGATGAGACTTGTCGACACGCTGTTTGATGTGAGTGGTTTTAAAGCTATTTCTCAAAAGCAGCCTGCAAGGTTCTGGTGTATGATGATGGGAGCGTGAAGATGAGGCTTGGCGACACTCTGTTTGATGTGAGTATCCAGTTAATAGTTTTAGCTTTACTAGGTTGGGACTTAGGGATCGGGAAGATTCTGGTGTATGATGATGGGAGCGTGAAGATGAGGCTTGGCGACACGCTGTTTGATGTGAGTGGTTTTAAAGCTATTTCTCAAAAGCGGCCTGGAAGGCTCTGGTGTATGATGATGGGAGCGTGAAGATGAGACTTGGCAACACGCTGTTTGATGTGAGTTTCCTGATTGGTTCGCCCTGCATATTCGGCCAGGAGCTAGCTGCTGCGAATGCCCTAACTTGCCCATCACCAGCTACTAGCCGGTTCGCCTTGCATATTCGTCCTGCAGTGAGCTAGCTGCTGTGAATGCCACATCTGGCTCCATGTGCCATAACCTGCACAACCCCACCCCCTTCTCTTCCTCCCCCCCCCCTCTCTCCCCCGTTCTCCTCCTCCCCTTTTCCCCTTTCCCCCCATCGCCCTGCATCCACCAGCAACACGCTGCTGTGAATGCCCTAACTTGCACATGCCCCTCACCTTTGTCCTCAACCACCCCCTCCATCCCCTTTTTCCCCATCACCAGCTGCAGGCCGGTTCGCCCTGCATATTCCACCAGGAGCTAGCAGCTGTGAATGCTGCATCAGGCATGTGCCCTAACCTGTACATACATACCCCTCCCTCCTTCCCCTCCCCTCCTTTTCACCAACAGCTGCAGGCCGGTTCGCCCTGCATATTCCACCAGGAGCTAGCAGCTGTGAATGCCGCATCAGGCATGTGCCATTTCTTAGGGGACGTGAGGCAGAGGGCTGTTGTGGTGCCGGATATAGACTCATTGCTACAGTGATGTCGGGTACACTTTTCATTTGTTGCTATATTTGTTGAGTATTGTTGTGGTATCTAATTTGTATGGCATCCCACTAGTTGGAATTATACTTGTCTTTGTCTTACTGTAACCTCACAGGCAGGTATATCTGTTGTCTTTTTGTAGTGCACTAAACCCAAAAGTGAGAATGTAGCTTCATTTGTTTGTTGATAATCTGTTGCAAGCTATAGTGATGCAGCTCTTAAAGCCCGAGTACAGCATGGTTATTTTCAAGTTCAAGATTCTTGAACTTGAAATCGTCAAAAACTGGGTTACCCTACTTTGTTTGACGGAACTCTCGCGACTCTGAGACAACGCCTAGCGACACTCTCTCCTCATTGGCTTTTGTGGACAATCGCAAAACAGAACCGAACGTCGCTCAGGTACCATAGCCTGTATAATATTGTGGACTACTTTACAGTGAGGTCTTGTGTGCTGCAGAACGGTTGTGCACATTTTCAGAGGTTGATTTGGGCGCAATGATAGATTCATTACTGAGGGGCATGAAAAAAAAACATATGAACAAACTTACAACTAATCAGCTCCTACCCGGGCAAAAAACAATTCAATGTAAACCAGTTACACCCTTAATCGAAGGGCGAAACAAATCAACCACCTATCCCAGACTAAGTCGTGCATACTTCTTTCTAATGCCTAAGTTTTTGTTTCTTCTCCCAGGGCCACTGGGGGCGGCACTTAAGCACGTGACCGCTCGCACCTGTAACGGGGACAAGAGGCCACTGGCACTCGCACTTGTAACCCAAGCAGGACAGGTGCGGCTTGCAGGAAGACATGGCTGGGCAGTGGTGGCCGGCGCAACTTGATTTCTTCTCACACTCTGGAGAGAGGAGCAGGAGGGGAGGGAAGGGGGGTAACCACATACACATGAGGAGGAGGAGGAAGGGGTAGCTGAGAACAGCATGCACATACACACTCCACTCCCCACACCCACACACAGCCACGCACAGCCACACACAGCCACGCACACCCACACACACCCACACACAGCCACGCACAGCCACACACAGCCACGCACACCCACACACACCCACACACAGCCACGCACAGCCACACACAGCCACGCACACCCACACACACCCACACACAGCCACGCACACCCACACACACCCACACACAGCCACGCACACCCACACACAGCCACGCACAGCCTCACACAGCCTCACACACCCACACGCACCCACACACACCCCACACACCCACACGCACCCACACACACCCCACACACCCACACGCACCCACACACCCCACACACACAGCCATGCATAGCCACACCCCACACACACCCCACACACACCCACACGCACCCACACACACACTCCCAGGGGAGTGGTCCACACCGGGCTGGCACCACCCGTCCGTAACCCCCAAGGGGAAAGCCATGTGATAATAAAAGTGTTCTGAGACGTCTCAAAACACTCCCCTCCCAGGGGAGTGGTCCACACCGGGCTGGCACCACCCGTCCGTAACCCCCAAGGGGAAAGCCATGTGATAATAAAAGTGTTCTGAGACGTCTCAAAACACTCCCCTCCCGGGGGAGTGGTCCACACCGGGCTGGCACCACCCGTCCGTAACCCCCAAGGGGAAAGCCATGTGATAATAAAAGTGTTCTGAGACGTCTCAAAACACTCCCCTCCCAGGGGAGTGGTCCACACCTGAGTGGAGAAAAACGCGTTCGACGTTTTAAACGCAGAACGCATTTCCAGGATTCCGAAAAAGCGCACACAAAAAAAAAAAAAAAAAAAAAAAAAAAAAAAAAAAAAAAAAAAAAAACGCAAGCCCGGGCAGGGTAAAAAAAAGGTACGGGCAGGCAAAAAAACCTCTCATGGTGCAAGGGAAGGGGGGGAAGAAGCACATAGCATAGATTTGAGGAGATTTTTTCCGACACAAAAAATTCCCCCCCCAACATTAGGTTCCCAAAGTCACGATTAGTTAGTCACTCTAGTCTAGCAATAAGCAAACTAGAGCATGCTACCACGGTCCACGCCATCTCCTTTAATCTTCGTCCTCCCCGCCCTCCTCCTCCTCCTCGCCATCCTCCTGGTGCGCGTGCTCATCCACACACATCGCGTCCTCATCCTCCTCCACCTCCCCATCCTCCTCCAGCTTGTAGCCCTCGGGGAGGGGGGGGGTGGGAATGTTCCCCTCCACGATCCCCCCCTTCCTTCCCACCCCACTAGGCCCTGCAACAGCCGCTCCCTTGTGATGGTTGTGCACAACTGTCCAGTTGAGCGCAACGTACACAAGGTCGCGGACCTTCTCCGACCCGAGCCTGTTCCTGCGTGCCGTGTGCACGCCGTCCCAAACAGACCAGTTCCGCTCGCACGGGGCGGCGGAAACTGGCTGGGACAGCGCACGGCGCGCAAGTCCAGCCAGGTCTGCATACTCCCAGCCGTGATACTGCCACCACGCCAGCACGTCCCCCTTCCCATCCTGCAGCTCCTCACGCCCCAATCTGGCCTCCTCCGATCCGAAGCTCCCAGTGGCGTTGATGTACGCCAACATCCCCTCCTGCAAACTCTTGTGCGGCCCCTTCTTCCCCTTCCAGAACTTGTCGACAAAGACCTTAGAGCGGGCGAGCCACTCCCTCATCACCTTGGTGCACTCAACGTCACGCAGGAAAATCTCCTCCAGCTGGTTGGCCGAATTAAGGATCCGGCCAACCACGTGAAGGGGGCACGCCAAACTCTCGTCCCAGCGGCGCCTCAAGTGCTCCTGCACCTCCTCCTTCTCCTCCTCCTTCAGCTTACACATATCACCATCCAGGAGCTTCGCCATGTCCTCCGTCAGCTGCAGCATGATGTCATAGATAGCACCCATCATCCCCTTCGCCTGCGAGTCCGTCCTCCTCATCACCATGAATGGCACCTCCATCAGCTGCACAAAAAACCCCGCTTTCTCCCGCCAATCCACATCCATCACCCACGCCTCGAAGTCACACGCCGTCGTCTTCTTCTCCTTCGTCCCCTTCTTTCCCTCCTTCCCCTTCTTCCCCTTCATCTTCTTCCAGCCATCATGCACCACCATCTACAGCAGCTGCGAGCGAAGCTGGCGAAGACAAGACACGGCAATGTACTGCGTCCCAAAACGCGTGCCCGCCGGTCGCAGCGGCTGCAGCGCCTTCCCGCCGTGCAGCTCCGGACTCCGCAGAAAAGCGCGCGTCCACAGGTGGATACGCAGAAACGTGATCATGTCGCCCGCTCGGCCGACGACGTCTCGCGTCCACTCCATCTTGCCGATGTCCTCCATCAGCAAGTCGAGCACGTGGGTGGCGCATGGCACATGCTCGATGTGCGGTCACTCCGCCTGCAGCAACTTGCATGCCGACGCGTGGTTGCTGCCACCGTCCATGCACAGCGCTGACGGCATTCTCCGGGCCGATCTTCTTTATGATCGGGCGCAAGATATCGGCCACGAACGCTTCGCTCTTCAGCTCCATTTTGCAGTCAACCGCCTCGATGAAAACAGCACCGGCGTCGTTGAGGAGCAGGATGTTTATCGGCGCGCGCCCGCTCTTGTCCGTCATCATATCGCTGGCGATCGTCACGCCCGTCTTCGCCCACGTGTCGGTAATCGGCGCCTATCCCTTCTCGATCCTCTTCTTGCACGCCAGGAGTCCGACGCCGCCGACGTAGTCACGCTTGGGAGGGACGTAGTTGGGCACGGTGGCGACGGCGCGAAGCATGTTGAGGAAGAGGAGGTTCTCGCACTGCCATTCCGCCACGCGCATCCCCGCGAAATAGAGGCATATCACCTCGTCGGAATTCCGCTTGGACGAGAGACCCTCGTCTCCGTAGAAGTCTTCCATGCGCCCCTGTTTCGGCTTTGGCCCCGCCGCGCTCTTGCCGCTCACTGAAGAGATCGCCTCCTCCGCCGCTTTCTCCTTGTCCTTGCGCGCCGCAATTTTCCCCTCCATCAACGCGCGAATCTCATCGGAAACGCGCTTGAGTACATTCTTACAAATCGGGCCAACCTCGCGGCGAGTATTGGGGTTGTTCCATATGGCGAGGTGAGAGGCGCAACGGACACTAGTAAAGCTAAACGTCTTGCCGCAAAAGTCGCATTTCGCTTGCTTAACCTTCTTTAAATCAGTGAAAAAGGTGTAATGCGAATACACAAGGTGCTTAGTCTTATCGGATGTATCCGCATTCTCCTCCTTATCGGCGACCGTGGTGCTAACGTCAACGACAAGAGTAGGACTACGGTCGGAATCACTGGTGGAATCCCTCGACGTGGAAGCCATAACTTAGAGGAGGAGCTTGCTAAACCCACAAGGGTTTTTGAAAGAGAATTTGGGATCTAGAAAGGAGAAGCACAAATGAGTCACTTTCACCTCTTTAACCATTGTGGTGGCTGGCCACAATGGTTGGAGTTTGTAGATGGTGTGCGGTGCAAAGCGTTTGGGTTCAATTTTGAAGTCAAACTTGGGAATTTTGGTGTGGGGTAGATTTAGTGGGGTCGATTTGGGTTGGAAGGGGTTCTTTTTTTACGAAATTGACATTCGCGCTAAAATCGCGAATGTCAATTTCGTAAGCTGGAAAGAAAAAAATCGAGCTGCCCAAAATTTTTTCTCCCATGCGTTCTGTGTTTTGCGTTTTTCTCCACTCAGGTCCACACCGGGCTGGCACCACCCGTCCGTAACCCCCACAGGGGTTCAGGAAGGGCGCTGCTTTTGAGGCGCCTCAAAAGTCGTCAAACTTGGGCTGGCACTGCCGTCCATGACCCCCACAGGGGTTCAAGAAGGGCGCTGCCGAGTAGAGTAGTAGGCTGAGGCACTTACACACACCCACACACACATCCCCAGGAGAGTCGTCCACACTAGGTTGGCACCGCCTGTAACCCCCACAGGGGGTCAGGAAGGGCGCTGCCGAGTAGAGTAGTAGGGCTGGCTTACGCTCCGATAGATATCCTTCACCACACCCCACCCATGCACATCCAGCTAGACCACTCACCGCACACGTCATTGTCTTTGAGGGTGGCCCCAGCAGCGCACATGCACATCTACTGCGTGGCAGGGAGCAAGGAAGCAGCAGCAAACCTAGACCTAGACCCAAGCGCACATGGCATTGCACTCACCGCACACGTCGTTGTCTTTCAGAGTGGCTCCAGCAGCGCACATGCACGTCCACTGCGTGGCCGGGAGGAGAGAAGCCGAAACATCCCCTGGGGAATCAGTCCACACTGGGCAGGCACACAAGCACCACTACTCACCGCACCACTACTCACCGCATACGTCGTTGTCTTTCAGAGTGGCTCCAGCAGCACACATGCACGTCCACTGCGTGGCCGGGAGGAGAGAAGCAGAAACATCCCCAGGGGAGTCGTCCACACTGGGCAGGCACCGCCCGTAGCCCCCACAGGGCGTCAGGAAGGGCGCTGCTGAGTAGACCGGCGATGGATTAGAGAGGGAAGAAGAGGAGGAGGCAGCGGTGGTGGTGGTGTTGGTGGGTTTGAGAGCGGTTGGAGAGGCGGACGCAGCAGTGCGAGGGGTAGAACGAGCAGCGGCAGCAGCGGAAGCAGCAGCGGCATCGACAGCAGCAGCAGCAGCTATCAGAGCAGCAGGGCTTCTTGCGGGGCCAGCAGTAGTAGTGACAGCAGCAATACTGACAGTAGCGGTACTGAGAGCAGCAGAAGCAGCAGTAGCAGCGGTACCAGCCGTTCCGCCCACCTCCGCTCCCCCACACTGGGCCAGGCAACGGGACGGCGTGCGCTGAGGGTAACTAGTACATCGCGCCCCGGGGTTATCGAAGCAGTTACCCACGGTGTTGCATGACATGGTGAAGGGGAAGCGGCCGCGGATAAAGTTGTGGGCGATTGAGAGGGTACCGAGGGTCTTGGATTTCTTGGGGGGGAGAGTTCCTGTGAGGAAGTTGCGCGATAGGAGGCTGGCGGGGGGAGGGGGGAAGATGGGGGGTTGGATTGGGAGGGAGGGAGGGAGGGAGGGAGGGAGGAGAGGAGAACGGATGGGAGAGGAGGGGAGAGGAGTACGTGAGAAGGGGAAGCGGCCGCGGATAAAGTTGTGGGAGATGGAGAGAACAGAAAGGGTCTTGGATTTCTTGGGTGGGAGGGTTCCGATGAGGAAGTTGCGCGTTAGGAGGCTGGTTGGGGTGAGGTGGGGGGGGGGAGGGGGAGGGGATGGAAGGGAGGAACGTGAGAAGAAAGTTATGGGAGATGGAGATGTCAGATTATCATAGCTGATGCATGTTTGTAGGCCATAGTGGGGTAGCACATATGGGGTACAGCTTTCTAGGGTTGTATTTGTACCCAACTCTGACTTAGTCATTTCATTCCTGTTCATTCTTTTCACATGGTATAGAGCGGGTCCCTCCTAAGGACCGTTTTTTTAAGGGCCCACCCACGATTTTTTTTTTTCCTGCCCGGAGCGCGCCCTATTCTCCCCGAGGCGCGCTCCCCTAGTGCTTGTCGCGCTGCCCTTGTGGCGCCCCGCAAGTCGCGCGCGCGACTCCTTTTTTTTTCGCGCGCGCGGCCCGGGCCCCACGTCGCGCTGGCCTTACGGCCGCGCCGCGCCGCCCTCTCGGCTCTGCCGCGCCGCGCCGCCCTCACGCCGGCCGCGCGGCCTCTTCGTCGCTGCAGCGGGCCCCGCCACTGCACCCTGACGGCCCCGCCGTCCCCTGTCCCGGCCCCGCCGCTGCACCCTGCCGGCCCCGCCGCTGCACCCTGACGGCCCCGCCGTCCCCTGTCACGGCCCCGCCGCTGCACCCTTCCGGCCCCGCCGCTGCACCCTGACGGCCCCGCCGTCCCCTGTCCCGGCCCCGTCCTGCACCCGAGCCGCCCTGCCGCCGAGCCGCCCGGGAGCCGAGCCGCCCTGCACCCGAGCCGCCCTGCCCCCGAGCCGCCCGGGAGCCGAGCCGCTCTGCACCCGAGCCGCCCTGCCGCCGAGCCGCCCGGGCGCCGAGCCGCCCTGCACCCGAGCCGCCCTGCTGCCGAGCCGCCCGAGCGCCGAACCGCCCAGCAGCCGAGTCACTGAGTCGCCGAGCCGCCCTTCTGCAGAGTTGCCCGGCCCGCCCTGCCTGGTGAGCACAGTCGCACTGTCACTGCGTGCTCTTCCCCTACTGCTTGCACTGCTTCGCTGTCGTCGTCATGGCTACCCCTAGTGTCCTAGCTTTTGACGCTGAGGGTCGCGCCATTGATTTTGAGGTCTGGTTAGACGACCTGCAGCTGTTCTTACAGTGCGACAGGGCTGACAGCCTTTCTCTCTTTGACCTCACCTCTGGCGCCTCTCCTGCTCATGCTGCTGATGCTGATCCCACTGTCCGCTCTCAGTGGGCCACCCGCGATGCTGCTGCACGTCTTGCTGTGCGTCGCCACCTCCCTACCTCTGAGCGTGCGCACTTTAGTCAGTACAAGAGTGCTCAGACCTTGTACGACGCTGTAGTTGCGCGCTACTCCTCCCCTGCCACTGCTGCACTGAGCCGTCTCATGCTTCCCTACCTCTTTCCTGACCTCTCTGCCTTTCCCACTGTCGCTGATCTCATTACGCACCTCCGCACTAGTGACACTCGCTACCGCGCCGCCCTTCCTGCTGAGTTCTGCGCTAAGAACCCACCCCCCATGTACATCGCTCTCTACTACGTAGTCGCGCGCCTCCCTGACTCCCTTCGCGTCGTCAGGGACCACTTTCTCGCAGTCTGTCCCACCACCCTCACCGTCGACCTCCTCGAGAAGGCCCTCCTCGCAGCGGAGAAGAGCATAGTCGCTGTAGGTGCTTCTCGTGGTGACCCTCGCACCCCCATCTTTGAGGGGTGCTCTCCTTCCCCCTTGCTGCCCTCTGTTGCCTCTGCTGCTGCTGCCGACCTGCTTGGTCTTGAGTCGGTCGGCGCGGCGTCTGCCCCTAGTGGGAGACGTCGCTCCAGCAAGGGCAAGGGGGGCAAGGGCGCGGGTGGAGCTGGAGGGGGCGGTGGCGGTGGCGGCGGTGGCGGCGGAGGGAGTGGGGGTGGCGGCAGGGCTAGTGGCGGAGGTGGTGGTGGTGGTGGTGGCAGCAGCGGCGGAGACGGTGGTGGTGGTGCCAGCGGTGGTGGTGGAGGCAGCGGCGGAGGTGGATGGCGGCGGAGGTGGAGGCGGTGGAGGCGGCAGCGGAGGAGGCGGTGGTGGTGGAGGAGGTGGAGCTGGTCGGGGTGGTACCCAGCAGCGTAGCGGCGGTGGTGGTGGCCAGCGCTCGCAGCGGCAGCAGCAGCAGCGCTCGCGGGACATCCCTCCGCCTCAGCAGCTTCGTGAGTGGTACGCTGGGCGTCAGAGGGGTGGGGGTACTGGTCCCTGCACCTACGTTCTTCGTTCCGGCGACCGCGCGGGTGAGTAGTGTGGGGGTGCCCACGCTGCCCAGCGCTGCTTTGGCCGCCTCACGGACGCTTGGCGTCAGCAGTTCCCTGGGGCTACTGAGATCCCTCGCTTGGGATGAGCTTCTTAGGGCTGGTGTAGCGATCTTTGATCTTGATTTTGATGCTATCCTTGCTGCTATGTATGCTAGTGACTTATAGTGAGGAGAATGAGGGTTACCGGTGTTTCCAGCCCGACCCGGGCATTGGTACTGCTGCGCTAGGTGCTTGTGAGGCTGCTGCTCTAGGTGCCAGTGCGTCTGCGCTCTCAGGTACTGGTGAGACTGCGCTCTCAGGTACTGCGTCGTCCTCGTCCTCCCTCACTTTCACACTTGACTCCGGGGCTTCTCGCTCCTTCTTTCGAGACCGCACTACCCTTACGCCGCTCGGCCGGCCGGTTGCATGTCTCCCTTGCTGACCCCTCTGGGGGATCCTGTCCTGTCTCACTTCTCCACTGTCCTCCCGTGTCCGGCTGCCCCTTCGGGCACCCTGTCTGGTCTGTACCTTCCCTCGTTCTCTACGAACTTGGTGAGTGGAGCGGACCTGCAGGATGTCGGGGTTCACCAGTTCACTCCAACGAGTCAGCGGGTGACCCACTGTACGGAGGCACGCACAGGCCGACACCTAGCCACGTTCTCGCGTCGGCCGGGGTCGAGTCTCTACACCCTGACCGTTGAGTCTCCTCCTGTCCCTGCGTCTGGTCTGGTGGCTGCGTCAAGTCAGGTACTTGCTGCTGCGTCCCGGTCAGGTCCTGAGTCTGCCCCCTGTTCTTGTCGCCTCCTGTCTCACGAGACTCTCCTGTGGCACCACCGTCTTGGCCACCCCTCCTTGCCCCGTCTTCGGAGCATGGCTTCCCGTGTCCTTGTCTCTGGTCTTCCCCAGTCTCTCCCTCCTCTCCCCTCCGGGCCAGGACCTTCCTGTGTCCCCTGTGTCGAGGGTCGCCTCCGGGCTACTCCTCACTCCTCCCACTTTCCCCCGACAGAGGCTCCCCTGCAGACGCTTCACATGGATGTGTGGGGCCCAGCCCCCGTCCGTGGGCAGGGTCACGAGCGCTACTTCCTGTTGGTGGTTGACGACTACTCGCGTTACACCACAGTCCTCCCCTTGCGCAGCAAGGGTGCGGTCACTGAGGTGCTGATCGACTGGATCCGCGAGGCTCGTCTCCAGCTCAGGAAGAGCTTCGGCTCGGACTTTCCTGTTCTGCGTCTGCACTCGGACAGAGGCGGAGAGTTCTCTTCTCGCCTTCTGCGAGACTACTGTCGTGCACGGGGGATCCGCCAGACCTTCACGCTTCCGGACTCACCACAGCAAAATGGGATTGCTGAGCGCCGCATTGGCATGGTCATGGATGTCGCTCGTACGTCCATGATGCATGCGGCTGCCCCCCATTTTCTGTGGCCGTTTGCGGTGAGGTACGCGGCGCATCAGCTCAACCTACACCCCCGGGTCTCTCGGCCTGCGATGTCCCCAGCCTTGCTGTGGACGGGGAAGGTTGGCGATGCGTCTGTGTTCCGTGTCTGGGGATCTCGGGCGTTTGTCCGCGACTTGTCTCAGGACAAGCTGTCCCCTCGTGCTGCTCCCTGTGTCTTCCTTGGCTTCCCCACTGACGCCCCAGGGTGGCAGTTTTACCACCCCTCCTCTCGTCGTGTTCTGTCCTCCCAGGACGTCACGTTCGACGAGTCAGTCCCCTTCTACCGCCTCTTCCCCTACCGCACTCCTTCCCTCCCCCCTCCCCCGGACTTCCTTGTGCCGGTTCCCCCCCCGGTAGACCCCCTCCCCCCTCAGGTTCCTGCCCCCTCAGGTGTGTCCCAAGTAGACGCCGTTGACCCGGTCGAGGTTACTGGTGACTCTGTTGCTGCTGCGGGTGCTGAGCCTGGGGGTGCTAGCTCTGGGGGTGCTGTGCGCGGGGGTGCTGAGCCTGGGGGTGCTACTACTGGGGGTGCTGGGCCTGGGGGTGCTGTGCCTGGAGGTGCTGGGTGCGGAGGGTGGGGGTGCGCGAGGGTGCTACTGCGGAGGGTGCGGAGCCTGGGGGTGCTGAGCCGGGGGGTGCTGTGCCTGGAGGTGCTAGGTCTGGGGGTGCTGGGTCGGGAGCTGCTGAGCCTGGGGGTGCTGCGTCTGGAGCTGCTGAGCCTGGGGTTTCTCCTGCTGTTGCGTCTCGCCGGGAGCCCCTCTCTCCACAGGAGCTGCGCGAGTGGTTCGCTCGCCGCTGGAGGCGTGCTGCTGAGTCTGGAGGTGCTGCTGGAGCTGGAGCTGGAGCTTCTTCGACCGTCGAGGGTGCGGGTGCTGCCGGTCCCGGAGCTGCTGGACCTGCGGGTCCTCCTGGAGCTGGAGCTGCTGAGGGCGTTGGTGCTGAGCCTACTGCTGTTGGTCCTGCCGCTGGAGGTGTGGGTGGCGCTGGTGCTGTCGCTGAGGGTGCTGGTGCTGTCCCTGCTGAGTCTGGAGCTGTCGCGCGGCCTCGGCCGTACTTCGTTCCGCTCCTGCAGCAGGTTCTTGGTCTTTCTCCTCCAGTAGAGGGTCCACCGCCTGTCCAGTCGCAGTCCCTGCTGGAGCCTACCTCTCCACTGCCTGCTCCCTCTCCTTACACTGGTCCTACTGGAGGTCTTGCTGAGCGTCGTGAGCCTGCGTCTCGTCCCGCGTCGCCTGTTCGTGCTGCTCGCGCTAGTGGTCGCAGTTCGCGTCAGCGTCCTCCTCCTGTCCCTGGCACGCACCGGATGTCTTTGCGTCCGTCCACTGCTCCTCTGCGTGCCCCTTTGCCTTCTCCTCCTGAGTCCTCTCTTCCTGCGCTTGCCGACCCTGAGTCGGACTCTCTTCGTGCTGCCAGTCCTACTGTCACGCGTCTCCTTGCTACTGTCGTCAGTGACCCCTCTTTTGAGTCCACTGCTGCGTCTGCTCTAGTCGCTGAGCTCGTCGACTTTGCTGCTCGCTGTCGTCTCGACTACGCTGCTAGTCTTGTTGCTGAGTCTGCGTCTGTCTGTCCTCCGTCCGTCGGGGGTGAGTGTGCTCTTGGCACGGACGTCCTAGAGGACAGGCAGGAGGAGTTACAGTGTCTAGCGGCTGCTTCACCTCATCTCGCGTCTGTACTGCTTGCCCCTGAGGGAGACCCGGATGCACTAGACATCCCGACTCCGCGTTCTTACGCGGAGGCCGTAGAGGGTCCCTACTCCTCTCAGTGGCAGGCAGCTATGGATGCAGAGATGGCTTCCTGGAAGTCCACAGGCACCTACGTTGACGCGGTTCCCCCTCCTGGGGCAAACATCGTCAGTGGCATGTGGATCTTCAGGGTGAAGCGGCCGCCGGGCTCTCCACCTGTCTTCAACGCACGGTACGTTGTTCGTGGCTTCAGTCAGCGGCAGGGAGTTGACTACTTTCAGACCTTCTCTCCCACCCCGAAGATGACCACTCTTCGGGTGCTGCTGCACATAGCCGCTCAGCGCGACTACGAGCTTCACTCTCTCGACTTCAGCACTGCGTTCTTGCAGGGCAGCCTGCACGAGGAGATCTGGCTGCGCCGTCCACCTTGCTTCACTGGGACTTTCCCTCCTGGCACCCAGTGGAGCCTCCGACGGCCAGTCTACGGTCTCCGCCAGGCACCGCGTGAGTGGCACGACACACTGAGGACTACGCTTGCGGCTCTTGGGTTTGCTCCTTCTACTGCTGACCCGTCGCTGTTTCTTCGCACCGACACTTCCCTGCCGCCGTTCTACATCCTCGTGTACGTCGACGACTTGGTCTTTGCCACAGCGGACACTGCTGGACTCGCCTACGTGAAGTCCGAGCTGCTGAAGAGACACACGTGCACAGACCTGGGTGAACTGCGCAGCTACCTTGGCTTGCAGATCACTCGGGACAGAGCACGCCGCACCGTTACCTTGACTCAGTCACACATGGTGCAGCAGGTCCTTCAGCGCTTCGGCTTCACGTACTCCTCGCCTCAGGCCACTCCTCTGCCTACTCGCCACTCACTCTCAGCTCTGCCTTCGGATGAGTCCGTAGAGTCGAGTGGTCCGTATGCAGAGCTTGTTGGCTGCCTCATGTACCTGATGACCTGCACACGACCTGACCTTGCATACCCTCTGAGCATTCTTGCACGCTATGTTGCTCCTGGGAGACACAGACCAGACCACATGGCTGCAGCGAAGAGGGTATTGCGCTACCTGTGCAGTACGTCGGGCATGGGGCTAGTGCTTGGAGGGCGGAGTCCAGTGGTCCTTACCGGCCACGCGGACGCTTCTTGGGCTGACGACCAGGCTACGCAGCGGTCGTCACAGGGTTACACCTTCAGCCTTGGTTCCGGCTCTGTCTCGTGGCGGTCTACTCGCTCGTCTTCGGTACTCGGCTCCAGTTGTGAGGCTGAGATCTACGCCGGGGCCATGGCTGCACAGGAGCTTCGCTGGCTCACCTACCTGCTGACTGACCTTGGAGAGCCGCCTCCTTCTCCTCCAGTGCTGTACGTAGACAACAAGGCCATGCTGGCCTTGTGTCGAGAGCAGCGCTTGGAGCACAGAACGAAGCACATTGCTCTCCGCTACTTCCTTGCTCGTGAGCTGCAGCAGCGTGGTCAGTTGCGACTTGCGTACGTGGCCTCTGAGGCCAATACTGCTGATGTGTTCACCAAGGCACTCGCGCCTTGTGACCATCAGCGCTTTTGCACCCAGCTGGGTCTTGTGCCTGTCTTGCCTCACTTGCTCTCCTCTTGACTTCACTTGTACTGTGACATATATATATACCTGCTCTTGCTTGTCTAGTTTTATATATATGTCTGTACTCCTGCATGTGAACTGGCCTCTGGCCCTGCTCTTGTGTTCGGACTGTGTGGTGACTTTGTGATCCACCCTGAGCTTGCTTTGCTTTGCTTTGCTTGACTGGTCTTGTGACCCCTTGTTCTCCCCCACTTTGCCTATGGGGGTGTGTCAGATTATCATAGCTGATGCATGTTTGTAGGCCATAGTGGGGTAGCACATATGGGGTACAGCTTTCTAGGGTTGTATTTGTACCCAACTCTGACTTAGTCATTTCATTCCTGTTCATTCTTTTCACAGGAGAGAGGGTGGAAAGGTGCTCGAATTGCTTGGATGGGAGGGTTCCGGTGAGGAGGTTGTGCGATAGGAGGCTGAAAAGGGGGGATGCGAGGGGGGGTGCGGGAGGGAGGGGAGGAGCATGAAAATCGTGGGAGATGGAGAGAGGGTAGAGAGGTGCTCGAATTGCTTGGATAGGAGGGTTCCGGTGAGGAGGTTGCGCGGTATGAGGCTGGTGGGGGCAAGAGAAAGGATGAGAAGAGAGGGGAAAGGAGGGAGCGGGAAGAACGTGAGAAACGGAAGCGGCCGCAGATAAAGTTGTGGGAGATTGAGAGGGTCGAGAGGGTCTTTGTAACGAGGTTACTTTTGAGACGTCCGCTCCCTATTTTGAAAAGGTGGATGGGTCAAGGGCGAGTTGAAGTGCTTCTGAAGCTTCTTAGGCTCGTACAGTTCCTGAAGGGCTTTGGCCGAAGCAGCAGAGGTGACTTTTGAGTCGACTCAAAAGTCGTCTCTAGCAGAGCGGCCACATGCTGACTTAATGAGTCGACTCAAAAGTCACCTCGTGCTTCTGAAGCTTCGGAGGCTCTTACAGTTTGTGAAGGGCTTTGGCCGAAGCAGCAGGTAGGAAGGACAGAACCCCAGAGGTGAGTTGTGACGGGAGCGAGGTAAGGCAAGGAAGGAAGGGAGGTCACAGGGGGGTAGGGAGGGGAGCGCAGCCTTACAGTTTCTGAAGATTCGAGGTGACTTTTTTGAGTCAACTCAAAAGACACCTCGCAAGGCAAGGAAGGAAGGAGGATCACAGGGGGGTAGGGAGGGGAGCGCAGTCTTACAGTTTCTGAAGATTCGGTTTCTGCAGCAGGTAGGAGGGCACGGAACCCCAGAGCTTGTTGTTGTTCAGACTCCTGGCAGAGCAGGGGGAGGTGAGGGAGGGGGAAGCAGACATGATCGAACGAGAAGAGAGGAGGGTTACAAGTCGAAGCCTCTATTGCAGAAGGTAGGAGGGCACAGAACCCCAGAGCTTGTTGTTGTTCAGACTCCTGGCGACGGAGGAGAAGGAGGGGGTGGAGAGGGAAAGAGGGGAGCAGACATAAATGAATGAGGAAGAACAGGGGACTACGAGTTGAGCCCTAAGGCAGAAGGTAGGAGGGCACAGAACCCCAGAGCTTGTTGTTGTTCAGACTCCTGGCGCGGGGAGGGGGTAGGGGAGGTGAAGGGGGGAGGTGGAGGGAGGGAGGAAGGGAGGGGAGGTGAAGTGGGGGGGTGGAGGTGGGGGGGGGAGGGAGGGGATGGGTGAGGAGACATGAATGAACGAGGATGGAGGGACAATAGAGGATGGAAGCGGATAGGGGAGGAGGGAAGACTAAAAGGGAGGAGGGAAGACTAAAAGGGAGGAGGGAAGAGGACAGGAGAGGGGAGACTCACAGAACGCGGAGGTTTGGGAGGTGCAGCAAAGGCTGCGCGAATTGGTCAATGGGTTGAGGCGGGGAGCGAAATGGGGGAAGAGGGAAAAGGCTAGGGAAGGGAGGGATGGGAGACTCACAGAACGCGGAGGTTGGGGAGGCGTAGCAAGAGCCGGGCAAATTGGTCTATGGGTTGCGCAGGGAAGCGAACTGGGGGGTGAGGGAAGAGGCTAGGGGAAGTGAGGTGGGGGGGAGACTCACAGAACGCGGAGGTTGGGGAGGTGCAGCAAGGGGCGGGCGAATTGGTCGAGTGACGCATTGAGTCGGTTGGAGGAGAGATCGCTGTTTGGGAGAGGAGTGGGGGGAGGGGAGGAGGAGGGAAGTGGGAAACACGGGGGAGGAAGGGGGAGGAGAAAAGGGAAAGAGATGGGAGGTGCTACAAGGACCGAGTTTTGAGACGTCTCAAAGCCACGCGAATTGGAATAATGACTCATTAAGCCTACTTCTGAGGCGCCTCAAAAGGGAGGAAGGGGGAGGAGAAAAGGGAAAGAGATGAGAGGTGCCGTAAGGGCCGCGCGAACTGGACTAATGGCTCGTTAAGGCGGTTGGAGGGCAGGTCCTTGAGGGGTAAGGGGGAGGGGGGAAGGGGGAGAGGGGAAGGGGGAGAGGGGATGGGGGAGAGGGAGTGGAGTAGGAGGGGAGAGAAGCAGAGGCGAGCAGAAGACGAACAGGTAGGTAAGGGTTTTCAGCACGTACAAATAGAGGTAAAAGGCCGAGCGGCGAGAGAGAGCGCACGTACAGGTAGGTGGGGGTTTTGAGGCGCCTCAAAAATCGTTTTCAGCACGTACAGATAGAGGTAAGGGCCGAGCGGAGAGAGCGTGTTTTGAGTCGACTCAAAACACACAAAAATCGTACAAATAGAGGTAAGGGCCGAGCGGCGAGAGCGAGATAGAGCACGTAGCGGGCAGGTAGAGCATGCAGCGGGCAGGTAGAGCACATAGCGGGCAGATAGAGCACGTAGCGGGCAGATAGAGCACGTAGCGGGCAGATAGAGCACGTAGCGGGCAGGTAGAGCACGTTGCGGGCAGATAGAGCACGTTGCGGGCAGGTAGAGCACGTAGCGGGCAGATAGAGCACATAGCGGGCAGATAGAGCATGTAGCGGGCAGGTAGAGCATGTAGCGGGCAGGTAGAGCACGTAGCGGGCAGATAGAGCACGTAGCGGGCAGGTAGAGCACGTACAGGTAGGTGAGGGTTTTAAGCTTCGTGAAGCTGTTCGGGAGCAGACCCGGTATGGTGATCACGTTGTAAGCCGTGCTGCAGTCACAACACAACACAACATGACACGACAAAAAATAGCACACATTATTGCACACCATTTCATCGATCCTGATACAAATCTTGGAGACCTGGTCGCTCCTGATATAAATCACGTTGTAAGCCGTGCTGCAGTCACAACGCAAGGCATGGGGGAAAAATAACACAAATTAGCAACATTTTCAGCCGCGAGCGCCTTTTGAGCCGCCTCAAGAGGAGACCCGATACGGTGATCACGCTGTAAGCCGTGCTGGAGAACAGTCGCAACACGACACGACATGGGGGAAAAATAGCACAAATTAGCAACATTTTCAGCAGCGAGCGCCGCAAGCAATCCACCAAACCAGACCCCAAAGCATTCACCGCGAAACCGACTATTCTCGTTACTAGCTAGCCCCCTTACACGGACGGAGACGCCGTTCCCCCTGGTGTCGCATTCGACGCCTATCCACGCGCCGCAGACCACCTTCCCGTTGGTTCGCCAACATTGCATGCCCGTCTGCACACATCTAATATCCCCGTTACAAGCTGTCCCCTTTCAAGCCCCTTACACGGAGACGACGTTCCCCCTGGTGTCGCACTCGACGCCTATCCACGCGCCGCACACGACTTTCCCGTTGGTGCGCCACCACTGCATGCCCGTCACTCCCAAGGCCACGCGCATCTCTATCAGCGCCAACGCTGGGAGTGGCGGAAAGCGTGGGGGAAGGGGGGCGGGAAGGGGCGTGGGAGAGGGGCGGGTGGAGGGGATGAATAAGAGTTTGCGGAAGTCCGTTGGTGCGCCACCATTGCATGCCCGCCACTCCCAGTGCCACGCGCATCTCTATCAGCGCCGCCACTGAGGGAAATCGGGAGCGGAGAGATGGGGGGAGGAGAGGGGTTGTTGGGGGAGCTGAAGAAGTGAACCAATCCCGCTGGTGCGCCACCACTGCCACCCGTCACTCCCAAGGCCACGCGCATCCCTATCAGCGCCGCCACTGGGGGAAAAGAGGAACGGGGCGGGGGGAGAAACAAGGCACGGGGGGAGGAAACCGGGAGGCGGGACAAATAAAGGCGAATCGTATTCGCGTGCTCGACCCGAAACATTGGGAGGAGGGATGGGCGGAGCTGACGATTTTCAGTTGACTCAAACCCAATCTCAATAAAGCTTCTGCTGAGCCAGAGATCATCGCAACCGGAGTCTTACCCTGGGCGCTGTTCATGTCAACGGCTAACAGGGGCGGAGCTGACCATTTTCAGTCGACTCAAACCCAATCACAACAAGCTTGTGCTGAGCCAGAGGTCATCGCGAACCTAAGACTTACCCTGGGCGCTGTTCATATCAACGGCTAACACGGGCGAACCCGACGTTTTCCCGTCGACTCAAAGCCCAGTCACGGTAAATGTTGAGCCTGAGCTTATCGCAACCTGAGACTTACCCTGGGCGCTGTTCATGTCAACGGCTAGCACGGGCGGAGTGGGCGACGCGGCCAGCAGCAACAACAGGACGGGCAGCAGCAGCAGCGAGGAATACGGCCGGCGAACCGACCCGGAGCAGGGCCGCCGCACGGCGCCTGCAGCTCCCTGCTGAACCGCCGAGCCTGACATGCCCGAGGCCGAGCCTATTTCCGAGCCTGACCCCAAGCCTGACCCCAAGCCTGACTCCAAGCCTGAGCTCATCTCGGAGTCCGAAATCGAGAAGGGTAGAGAGAGTGCGCTAGTCGTGAGTTGCGACTCGGATAGCCTAGGACCTCGTTGGACGAAGTCGCCTCTCGCCGCCGTCGTGTCGCGCGCATAGGAACAGCACGGTTGCGAGTCGCCTCCTGAATTAACGAGTCTGCTGCAGTCGCTGGTGCTGTCGCGAACTTGTCTGAGTTCGCACCCTCTGCTGCTGGTTACCGCCGACCATCTTGCGCCATCGTCGACCGTCATTCTGTACCCGATTACTAGGATGTTCTACCAAGAGAGTAAGCGAGCGAGGGTTACCGGCATCAGAACGTTTGTGAGCCATCCCCGAACAGGCCTCCAGCAAATCAAGTTTCGAGGAGCACCAGGGGGTGCTCTGGAAATGATTCTGTACAGTGGGTTTTTACCAGTGCGGCTGGGTTGGGGTGTTTGAGGGGGGGAATGGTCGAAACTCGTGTGTAAGGGCGTGTAAAATCGGCGAGCATTTTGAAAAATTGGGTTTGGCCGGGATTTTGTCGTCCAAATGGTCGACACTTCTTTCTCACATGTCGACCAGATGGTCGAATCAGAGTCGGCCAATAACCGGCCAGTATTTGCAAGTCTGCAAATTTTACAACTTTCCAGGCCGAATTGCTGGCTGACTCCAGGAAGTTGTAAACTTTCAAATGGCCGAATTGTGCGACGGAGTCGCACATGTGCACCCGATATTGCCACGCCACTCCAAGCTCGACCACGGCGTCGCATGCGGAGTCTTGCGACACCTGCTGTCAACGTCGCAACGACGGGGCGGGAACGTGGCTGATTTCGAGTCGACTCGATGTTGAAAGCCGAGTCGACCACTTTTACGGCCATCAAATTCGCATTACATTAGCGAAATTCGCGACTTTCGCAACCGTTCTCAGTAATGTCGTGAAAGTGTTACTTTCGCCAAATCGGCCAGTCGGCTTGTGGCCGAAAATTTGTGTCTGCCGATTTTACACGCCCTATATTCAGGACCACACTAGTCTGTTCACTTTGTATGAGTTGTCTTAGAAATGATGAGGTGTCTTAAAGATGATTCATCCAGGAGCAGAATTGTGTCAATCCTGTAAATTTGACAAGGATTTCACGTGAGCCAAATTCTGGAAAAGTAGATTTTTGTAATACAGCCCAAAAGTTACTCAAACCTGCCCAAGCCTCTTAGAAGAAATAAAAGTTAAAAGTTGGCTCGTTTTGCCCCAAAGTTTCATTTCGAATTTGACACCTAGAGCAACTTTGAACCGACCTCAGATTTGAAAAGAAATCCTCCGAAGCGCGTTCTTTCTTCGAATCCCCTCTCCCCCTTGGAGTCCTTCCTGCCCATCCATCCTTCCCATCTATCGCTTCGCCAGCTAGTACTACTCAGATTCAGCTATTGCTCACAGCTAGCAGAGCAATTCTTGACAATCTTTACAAACATCTTGGCAATTATTGACAGTGCCCTTCCAACTACTGATTGACGAATACCACAAGCACAGATTTCAAAGAAAAAATAGTGACAATCTTTTTGGTAAAAACACCCATGTTTCCTAGGTGCTGGTGCATTCGTTGCTGGCACAAAAGCGCTGGCGGTTCGCCATAGAGCGTTGGGCGCTGGCGCCTTGGGCGCTTGCGCTTTGCGCTGGCGCCTTGGGCGTTGGCGCTTTGCACTTGCGCCTTTTGGGCGCTGGCACGTTTGGGCGCTGGCGCCTTTGGGCGCTGGGCAGTTGGGTGAGAAGAGTAGAACGAGAATGAATGACTATGGAATGAAAGTGATACAAATATGCAGCCCTAGAAATATGTACCCCATATGGGCTACCCCACTAAAGCCTAGACAAAATTATAATTTGACACACCCCCATAAGCAAAGTGGGGGAGAACAAGGGGTCACAAGACCAGTCAAGCAAAGCAAAGCAAAGCTCAGGGTGGATCACAAAGTCACCACACATTCCGAGCACAAGTTCAAGGCCAGAAGGCCAGTTCAGAAGTGTATATACAGTTCACATACAGGAGCACATATTTATATGCAAGAGGCTAAGCAAACAAGAGCAGGTGTATATATATGTGACACTACAAACAAGGTCAAGAAGTGAGCAAGTGAGGCAAGACAGGCACAAGACCAAGCTGAGTACAGAAGCGCTGCTGATCACAAGGCGCAAGTGCCTTGGTGAAAACATCAGCAGTGTTGGCCTCAGAGGCCACGTACGCAAGCCGGAACTGACCACGCTGCTGTAGCTCACGAGCAAGGAAGTAGCGAAGAGCAATGTGCTTCGTTCTGTGCTCCAGTCTCTGCTCTCGACACAAGGCCAGCATGGCCTTGTTGTCTACGTACAGGACTGGAGGAGAACGAGGCGCCTCTCCAAGGTCGGTCAGCAGGTAGGTGAGCCAGCGAAGCTCCTGTGCAGCCATGGCCCCGGCGTAGATCTCGGCCTCACAACTGGAGCCGAGAACAGAAGACGAGCGAGTAGCCCGCCACGAAACAGAGCTGGAACAAGGGCTGAAGGTGTAACCCTGTGACGACTGCTGCGTAGCCTGGTCGTCAGCCCAAGAAGCGTCCGCGTGCCCAGTGAGGACCACTGGACTCTGCCCTCCAAGCACTAGCCCCATGCCCGACATACTGTACAAGTAGCGCAACACCCTCTTCGCTGCAGCCATGTGCTCTGGTCTGTGTCTCCTAGGAGCAACATAGCGTGCAAGAATGCTAAGAGGGTATGCAAGGTCAGGTCGTGTGCAGGTCATCAGGTACATGAGGCAGCCAACAAGCTCTGGGTACGGGCCACTCGACTCTACGAACTCATCCGAAGGCAGAGCTGAGAGCGAGTGGCGAGTAGGCAGAGGAGTGGCCTGAGGCGAGGAGTACGTGAAGCCGAAGCGCTGAAAGACCTGCTGCACCATGTGTGACTGAGTCAGGGTAATAGTGCAGCGTGCTCTGTCCTGGGTGATCTGCAAGCCAAGATAGTTGCGCAGTTCACCCAGGTCTGTGCACGTGTGTCTCTTCTGCAGCTCAGACTTCACGTGGGCGAGTCCAGCAGTGTCAGAAGTGGCAAAGACCAAGTCGTCGACGTACACGAGGATGTAGAACGGCGGCAAAGAGGTGTCGGTGCGTAGAAACAGCGACGGGTCAGCAGTAGAGGGAGCAAACCCAAGAGCCGCAAGCGTAGTCCTCAGTGTGTCGTGCCACTCGCGCGGTGCCTGGCGGAGACCGTAGACTGGCCGTCGGAGGCTCCACTGGGTGCCAGGAGGGAAAGTCCCAGTGAAGCCAGGTGGACGGCGCAGCCAGATCTCCTCGTGCAGGCTACCCTGCAGGAAAGCAGTGCTGAAGTCAAGGGAGTGAAGCTCGTAGTCACGCTGAGCGGCTATGTGTAGCAGTACCCGAAGAGTGGTCATCTTCGGGGTGGGAGAGAAGGTCTGAAAGTAGTCAACTCCCTGCCGCTGACTGAAGCCACGAGCCACGTACCGCGCCTTGAAGACAGGCGGAGAACCCGGCGGCCGCTTCACCCTAAAGATCCACATGCCACTGACGATTTTCGCCCCAGGTGGGGGAACCGCGTCAACGTAGGTGCCTGTGGACTTCCAGGAAGCCATCTCTGCATCCATAGCTGCCAGCCACTGAGAGGAGTAGGGACCCTCTACGGCCTCCGCGTAGGAGCGCGGAGTCGGGATGTCAAGTGCATCTGGGTCTCCCTCAGGGGTAAGCAATACGGACATGAGATGAGGTGAAGCAGCAGCCAGACACTGGAACTCCTCCTGCGTGTCCTAAAGGACGTCCGTGCCAAGAGCACACTCACCCCCGACGGACGGAGGACAGACAGATGCAGACTCAGCAACGAGACTAGCAGCGTAGTCTAGACGATAGCGAGCAGCAAAGTCGACGAGCTCACCAACAAGAGCAGACGTGGCAGAGGACTCAAAAGAGGGGTCAGTGTCGACAGTAGCAAGGAGACGCGTGACAGTAGGACTGGCAGCACGAAGAGAGTCCGACTCCGGGTCGGCAAGGGCAGGAAGAGAGGACTCAGGAGGAGAAGGCAAAGGGGCACGCAGAGGAGCAGTGGACGGACGCAGAGACATCCGGTGCGTGCCAGGGACAGGAGGAGGACGCTGACACGAACCGCAACCACTAGCGCGAGCAGCACGAACCGGCGACGCAGGACGAGACGCAGGCTAACGACGCTCAGCAAGACCTCCAGTAGGACTAGTGTAGGGAGAAGGAGCAGGCAGTGGGGAGGCCGGCGGTAACTGTGACTGTGACTGGACAGGCGGTGGACACTCTAAGGGAGGAGGAAGACCAAGAACCTGCTGAAGGAGCGGAACAAAGTACGACCGAGGCCGCGCGGCGACTCCAGACACAACAGGGACAGCGCCAGCACCCCCAGTGGCAGCACCAGCGCCAACAGCGCCTCCAGCTCCAGTACCTCCAGCAGCAC